GCGGGCCCGGGGGCGGCGCCCAGCTCGGTCCCTTTGCAGCTTGTTCTCCGATCCTCACTGTACCCTTGGGTGGGTCGCGCTGCATTGTCGCCGCCAGCCCACGAGGTGAGTTGGTGCCACGACCCCGCCAAGCCCGCGTCCCCGGGGTAGAGTCCTGGGGCCCCAGCCACAGAGCAGGGTCGGGGCCCCTCATGAGTGACCTTTTCCTTTCGAGGACATGGGGCGCGCTCCTTTTCCCAGGTGCAGACTGCATCCGCTGCCTCCCCACACGCTGGGGCGCTCAGCCTTCCGGCCCAGATGGGGGCCCTGGGCTCATCACCATGGGGCGCCTTCTCCAGCTGTCTAGTTAAGAGGTGGCTCCCTGACTCCCCAGAAGTGGATGCCCCTTCCTCCCCTGTGGGGATACTTCTTAGAAGACGGATTCCCCCCCCTCCTGACATGTGGATCCCTTTGTCTCCCCAGAAGTGGGAGCCCCCCTCCCCTTCCAAATGTGCTGTCCTCTCCCTCCCTCAGACTCAGTTTAGTCCCTGTCCTCTAAAACCACTCCCCACTCCCGTGGGATGCCAGACCCTGAGGCTTCCCCCTCCCCAGGGCTGGGGGATGGGGCACAGCCTGTCATCTCCCTGACAGCTCCAGCCCAGCAGGCTCCCTGCACGTAGGCAGCCAATTAGGAGGAGGGGGCCCCCCTGACCATCTGCACAGAGGCCTCTGCAGATGGCCCTGTAGAGCAGAGCTCAGGACCTGCCTCTCCCTACCTGGGCTCTCCAGCAGTTTCCACTGGGGGCAGACAACAGAGGGGGGTGTGCAGGCCCAGAGCCCAAGCCCTCAGCCCCAAACTGCTCAGATACCACCGGTGAGTTAAACCTCCTTCCACTTGCTTCTGAGGCCCAAGAAGGGGCTCCAAAGGTCTAAGACCCCCAAGTCTGGCTGCGGTGCCATCCCTGCCTCTCCCTACCTGGGCTCTCCAGCAGTTTCCACTGGGGGCAGACAACAGAGGGGGGTGTGCAGGCCCAGAGCCCAAGCCCTCAGCCCCAAACTGCTCAGATACCACCGGTGAGTTAAACCTCCTTCCACTTGCTTCTGAGGCCCAAGAAGGGGCTCCAAAGGTCTAAGACCCCCAAGTCTGGCTGCGGTGCCATCATACAAAATTAGAAGGTTCAGGGCATACAGGTGACCTTGAAACCCTGGAGACCCCTAGCCAAAGGGCCTGCGGTGGGGGTGGAACTCACTCTCCCATCCCCACCCCAGATGCTCTCCAGAGCTGCCTGGAGCTTGGTGCTGAGGAGAGGACCTGGAATTCGGGGGAAACACAGCCCAGGAGGTGCCGGTAAGACCTGGGCCCCTTTCCCAACCTAATTCCAGACTTAGTGTCCGGTCCCTTCTGCAGGCTTCCCCCAGACCACTCCTTGGATCTCAGCTGGGTTCCTCCAGGAAAGGGAGCCCACGGTGAGTAGACCACGGACCCCTGTCCCAAGCTTCCTTCCCTGTTCCCGAGCCTGGTCCCTGGGCACTGCTGTGCGCTGAGGCAGGTGGAGGTGGAGGAGGCTGTGGACCCTTGGCCTCTGCTTGCCCTCTTCCTGACTTTGGTGCTGTGACAGGCAGAAGACAGGCTCAAAGCTGGGGAGACCTCAGCCAGGTTACAGAAGCCTCCTGTCCCTCAGGAGAATAAGATGAGACTCACTGAGACTCCAAGTTGTGATAAACATTTTGCCTAGATTAGCACACTTAGATTTCACAAGAATCTTGTGAGGTGGAGACTGGGCCACTCCTCGTCAGAGGCAGTTCCAACGCTGTACCCTAAGGTGGCACCAGCGCCCCCTGGTGGGCCTCTCTGAGCCTCTCTCTAAACAAGACCCTTTGTTGAGCTCCTCCCTAGTGCCCAACCTTATTCTGGGCACTCTGGGCACTTGTGGGGAGAGCTGAAGGGGTGAGCTATCAGGGAACTTCCAGGAGCAGAGGCCTCAGTGAGCCAGGGTTCTTTACTGATCAGCTGCTGTGCCAGTCACCATGCAAATCCTTCTGAGTGCATTAGCCGGAAGGTAGGCTCTCTTGTCCATATGAGGGTACTGAGACATAGTGAGGTAAAGGACTCCCTGGAGCTGGAGCAGATCAAACGGGTTCAGCTGGCTTCAAAGCCGTGCCCTTGACCCCCTAGAGGGCCCCTGCACAGTGCTCACAGTTTGCAGAGCCCTCCCAGTTCAGCACCTCAGCTCCTGCCTTGAGCCTGAGCCTGAGCCTACCACGGTCCCAGCCAGACAGGACATGCTTGCCTCAGATTTTCTCAGAGAGCATGGGATTGGAAGCCAGAGGCGCTGAGCTGCAGCCTGGGCCCTGCCCCTTCTTGCTTGGTGCTTTCTAGCAAGCCACTTAGCTGCTCGGTGTCACCTAATGTCACCTGGCTCAGAATGATGTGGTGCTGGTGAGGCAAACTCACCTGAAAGCCTGGACACAGCTCTCTTCTTTGTGTCTGCAGCTGATGGCCAGGGCAAGATGCCCCCCTATACCAACTACTATGCCCAGCGCTCTTACCCCATGCCGGATGAGCCCTTCTGCACGGAACTCAGCGCTGAGCAGCGTGCCCTGAAGGAGAAGGAGAAGGGAAGCTGGACCCAGCTGAGCCATGCTGAGAAAGTGGCCTGTAGGTCTCAATATGGGGAGAGTGGGTGGCAGTGGGGGCGGCTTTGCAATGAGCAGCCTGGCAGAAGCAGAGAGGTATGGCAAGGAGAGGACCCCAGTGCAGCCGGATAGCCCCGGACATCTGAATGCACACCTGGAGAGTGAGGTTTATTGTTTTATTCCTTTCTTTCTGTTTTGTTTTGTCTCCCCACCCCCCTTTTGGTAGTACTGGGGATTGAGCCCAAAACCTTCAAACTGAACTACATCCCCAGCCCTTTTAAATTTTGTTTTTATTTATTTATTTATTTATATTTTTTCAGCCCCTTTTTATTTTGAGACAGGGTCTCACTAAGTTACTCAGTTGCCCAGGCTGGGCTCGAACTTGGGATCCTCCAGTCTCAGCCCCCTAAGTGTTGGACTTTCAGGCACGCTCCACCATGCCTGGCTCCATTCATTCTTTAATTAACTCAACCTTTAGGCACAGGGCAAGGCTAGGGCCAAGAGGTGGACATGAGGTCAATCCCTGACTCATGGGCCTCCTAGACCAGGGCGGGTAACTGACACAGGCCTCAGCACTGCAACGCAGGGTCTACGGCTAAGGCAGGCTGTGTCCAGGGGTGAGGGCCGAAAGGGAATCCTGGAGGGCCTCCCAGAGGAGAGCACTGCCAGGCCTGAGAGCAGCATGGGCGTGGTGTCACAGCAGGAGCCTGTAGAGGGCCCTGGCGCCATCAAGCAGGGAACAGAGAGGCAGCAGAGAGCAGGGAGAAGGGGGCCTGACCTCGGGTGGCAGGAGGGACACATAGCCCCAGTGTTGACCGCCAGAGCACCCTGGGTCCACCCTTTGATATTGGGGGCCTCAGTCTCACTCCATGACCAGGGGAATCCTGTGTTCCAGGGGTTCCCAGTGAGAGAGGTGCCTGCTTCTCTTCATTCATTCACTAGGTGTCTCGTTGAGCATCTGCTGCAAGGCCAGGCCCTGGAAGTGTGGCTGGGACCAGCCAGTCCTGCCCCTGCCCTGGAAACTGTGCCCCCCAGTTCTTTCCCTTCCTCTCAGGCCACCTGCCCATCCTCCTTCTGTCCCTCTCTCCCTTTTTTTCCTTTTCAGAAACAGACGTCCACCTTCCCTGCAGCTAAAGTGATGGAGGCAGGATTTGAACCTCCCAGATTGGCACCAGGGACTCTCAGCTGCTGTGCTGAAGAGGTGGTGGGGTAGAGCGGAGCATCAGGGCTCAGGAAAGGGCTCAGACCTCTGACCTGTCCCACCTACACCTCACATCTTCCTCTGTGTTCCCCCTGCTCCCCGCCCCTGCCACCTCCTGCCAACACTCTGGAAATCAGACTCCTCCCCAGACTTGGTCCCGTGTGTGGCTGCACTCCCACTGGATGTCTTGCTATTCTGTCTCACCCCGAGGAATTCTACTGCTGGCTTCGATTTTCCTTTAATTGTGTATTTGCCCATGTATGTAATATACTGAGAAGGGATCACACACATCAGGTGACACTCAGGACTATAATAAAGAAGGAAAGGGGGAGGAAGGGAGGAAGGAAGAAAAAGAAAAGAAAAGGAGAAAACTTAGTTTCCTTCTCCCGGCCTCCTGAGCTGGTCCTTGCGTATTCCTGGGAGAGAAGCTGCTCTATCTCCCGTCCTGATATTCCTCCCTGTCTCCTTTCCTCGAACTCTACCTTTTCACCTACAACACTCTTGTTCTAAGAGTGACAGTGTCACAGACAAGTGGCCATGTCGGCCCCAGCCTGCCCACCTCCGACATCGGTGCTCAAGCCTATTTAGGTTACTTGTTTTTTTGGTACCGGAGATCAAACTCAGGACCTTGAGCTTGCGAGGCAGGTGTGTTGCCACTGAGCTAAATCCCTGGCCCCTATTTAGGTTACTTAACTGTGACTGTAGAGGAGGTGATTGAAAGATACAATGAATGTTCCACCGGCTGCCTCACAACCACAAGGCCCCTAGTTCAATCCCTGGTACCAACAAAACAGTGAGCTAACGAGAGGATCCCACATTAAGGGTTGTACCTGCTTCATCTGCTGTGTGCGTGGAACATGTGCATGGACAAGGAAAAAGGAGACGGGACAGGGGCCTGAGAGGAAGGGCAACAGCTGGGGGCGTTGTTCCAGTGCAAGGGCAGGTCCTGGCTGTCCCAGCCACACTTCCAGGGCCTGGCTTTGCAGTAGAGATGCTCAGTAAGACGCCCAGTGAATGACTGGATGGATGAATAGGGAGTAATTTGAGAGTACAATGGCAATGTGTCTTTTATTGTGATAAATTTCAAAATTTAGACATTCACTGTATTTTATGATCCCCCACATTATGCAAACATTTATGGCAATTTCTGTCAAGTAAAAATATTATTTTGTGTCCTCGTCCACCTTAGTCACTGGATCTCACACCACGGGACTGACTCATGGCTCTTCCCCAGGTCCAAATGATCACGACAGGTAAAGGTTTTGAATCAATTCAGGATTACCAAGGCAGCTACGATGGTGCCACCAGACACTTTGAAAGAGGGCGTCAAGGGTCCAGAATTTAGCTCAGTGGTGCCACCGCCTGCCTCGCAAGCACGAGATCCTGAGTGTGATCCCCAGTACAAAAAACAAAAAACAAAACAAAGCCAGAAGGAAATAGGACTTTTAGAGCCACTTCCAAGAAAGTGGCAAGAATGATAGGGTAAGCGTGTGCAGAGACAGGCAGTGTTCTGAGGGAGATTCATGGCAATGTGTTTTTTATTATAATAAATTGTTTAAAATCTTTGAGCATTCACCAGATTTTTAACCACATCTCATATTTCGACAGTTGGTAGAATGTGCACATTTTAAGCAAAAATAAAAGTTTTATAATTTCAAATACATTGATAGAGAGGGAAAGGGGGGAAAGAGAGGAGCCTCCTGTGTGCCACAGCTGTTCCGGGTGCTGGGAATGCAGCGGTGAACAGCATCCTTGTCCTCTGAAGCTCGAAGTCCAGTAGGAAAGATAAGCAGTAATCAGAAAGCAGATAAATAAAAATACTCAGTGTGAGGGAAGTGAAGGTCAAGAACAGTCCTGATAAAAGTTGCTTGCAAATAAAAGCATGCTTTTGTCACTTTCTTGCCTAAAATCCACCCTCCCCAGTTCCAAGAGAAGAAAATGCAGGGTCCTTCTCCCCTTGGCTGGCCAGGTCCTGTGTGATTTGGTTGCTGTTGGCTCCTTATTTGCCACATCTCAGTCAGCTTCACGCCGGCCACACAGCCCTCACACACTCCTTTCCCGCCCCTTCTGCCTCTGGGCCTGGCTTCTGGTTCTCCTTTGACTCTCCTCCTCCTCCAGTTTTCCAGCCTCAGCTCTAATGTTGCCTCCGCTGAGAGACCTTCTCAGCCACCCAAACTGAAGTGGCCCCTGCTTACAGCCTATTTGGCGTGTGCGCCACCTGGGCCTGTGCCTGAGCTCCACAAACGCAAGAATTTTTGTCTGTTCGTGTCACTGCCACATCTCCAGTCCTGGCCATGCTGTGAATACAGTAGATGCTCACTAAGAATTTGCTGGCTGACCAGCACCTGCTGAGGGGAGCAGGAGGCTGGGAATCCCTGGGGCGAAGTGTTGGCCCTGGGTCCCTGGGATGGATGCTCCTGAGGCCCCTTTCCCATGCCACCTTCTATAGTGTACCGGATCCGGTTCCACGAGACCTTCGCAGAGATGAACCGGCGCTCCCAAGAGTGGAAGACAGTAATGGGCTGTGTCTTCTTTTTCATTGGAACAACGGCTCTGCTGATTTGGTGGCAGCGGGTCTATGGTGAGTGGCCATGCCTCGCCTGGCAGCAGGCCTAGGGCATGCCTTTGTGGTCACATTCACTGGCCATACTCTTCAGGGAATCATACTGGGATTTATGTGAAGAGTTTTAAAATGCCCCCAGAGAGTGTCGGGGATTTAGCTCAATGGTGCTGTCAACTGCCGCGCAAGAGCAAGGTCCAGTGTACGATTCTCAGTACAAAAAAAAAAGCCTCCAGAGAGGTGGAGGGTGAAGGACAGAACATGACTGCCTGGGTCAGAGTGCAGGGAGTCTACCTCTCTGAGCCTCAGTTTCCTCATCTGTAAAATGGCAACAAAAATGCCCACATCCTAGGGTTCTTGTGAGAAGGTGTAGGCCAGTGTGTGGTACTTAGTCATGGCGTTGTTTTATTGATTACTGTGTATTAGCCATGTATTTTCCGGTATACTGTTTCAGCCGCTGCTGTAACGAAAATTCTCAACATACATAAGCTCAAACAAGATAGTTTTTTCCTTTCTGATGCACACAAAAAGGCCAGATAATCCAGATGAATATTGATATCCCACAAAGCAAGCTCCTTTTTAAAAAGTTTTTATTATTGCTGTTGTTGTTGTTTTCAGACAGGTTCTCCCTATGCAGCTTAGACTGGTCTTGAACTCACTATATAGCCCAAGCTGGCTTCAAACTAGCAGCAATACTGCTTCAGCTCCAGAGTGCTGGGATAAGAGGTGTGTGCTACCACACACAGCCTTTTTCTTTTTAAAAGATGGGAGCCTTGAGCCGGGAGTGGTGGCGCACGTCTGTAATCCCAGCACTCGGGAGGCTGAGGCTGGGAGGATCGCTGAGTTCGAGACCAGCCTGGGCTACATAGTGAATAGTGTCTCAAAAGAAAAAGAAAATATGGGAGCCTTGAACTGCTGAGCCTCCTGCCTCAGTCTTCTGAATAGCTAGGATTATAGGCATGTGAAACTTCAAAACAGGTCCTTCTAAAATCCTTACTTTGTATCTTTCATTTTAACATACAAGATGGCTGCTCCAGCTCCTGGTACTTCCGCTAATATCCTATTGGCTGGAGATGGTCATGTGGACTTGCCTTGCTACAAAGGAAGCTGGGAAATGTAGTCTTTGCTGGGAATCACAAGTCCACTTATTTTACTTTTTCTCGGTAGGTGAGATCAAACTCAGGACCTTGTGCTTGCAAGGCAGGCACAGTACCACTGAGCTAAATCCCCAGCCCTTCCACTAAGCTTTTATTTCCTCAGAAGAATGGTTCTCAAAATGTTATCCCTGGACAGACACCACCACTTAGGAACTTGTTAGACATGTGATTACAGACACTTGGGTTGGGTTGTGGAGCCCAGGAATTTTTCTTTTTTTTTTTTTTTCCCGGTGTTGGCAGTGAACTCAGGAACTCATGAATGCTAGACAACTGCTCTACCAGTGAGCCATGTCCCCAGCCCATGTATCCATTTTAACAGCCTTCTGGCTGATTCTGATGCTCACTCACATTTGAGAAGCTCACCGTGGATGAAGAGGACAGGATGCAAGCTGGCATGGTGGTGGAGTTGTATAATCCTAGCTCTCTGGGAGGCTGAGGCAAGCGGATCTCAAGTTCAAGCTCAATCCAGGCAACTTTACAACACAGCAAGATCCTGTCTCAAAATAAAAGATATTAAAATAAAAAGGGGGCAGAGGATATACCTCAGTATAAAGACTCTGGGTTCAATTCCCAGTTTAAAAAAAAGTTGGGGAGAGGATATTGAAGAATGGGCAGTCAGCTTCAACTGTCACCTCTAGTGATCTCATCTTGTTTCCTATGTAAATGTGACAGGAATCCCTGAGCTGCCTGAGGATGTAAATGACAGAGAGCTGGAAACAGCCTCATCTAGTTTGGCACACAGTGGATGCCCATGAAAATCGTTCCCTTTTTGTCATCCTGGGTAGAAGCACCAGGGACAGAGGTGTGAAGGGTTGGGTCAGCTCAGGGGCAATGGGCCAGAGAGCTCCAGCCTCTGCCCTTCTTGACCCACACACTGGGGCTTCTCAAGTCCCTCCACAATGCATCAGACTGTGGAGTAAGTCTTGCCCACTCCAGGGATGGAATCCATGGCTTTCACACTGAGCTACTTTCTTTCTTTTTTTTTTTTTTTT